TGTGTGTGTGTGTGTGTTTGTAATAATGCGTGCGGTGAGTTTGTGTGGATTTATGCCAGTGTGAGAATAATGTTTCCACACGTGGAATATGTGTTTATGTGTTATTTTGGTTTTCATTTTAGTCAATGTTTCTGTTTACAGTCAGACAAAGCCAGCGTCTTTGAGGTAGCTATTAGGCTCTCACTCTTGCATGTAAAAGAATAGAGTTTTCTTTTAATGTCGATGTTGTACGCCCCCATAGACGCAATTTAGATCATTTAGTAGAGCGCTGGCTTCGGTCCTCCCTATCAGAGGAATACTACATCCCAGCAGAGAGACCGAGATACTCAATAAAAGGAAGAAACATTCTCCTCAGTTAATTATCGAACTCCGGTCTCCTAACTGTTACACCACAGACGCCGGTAAAGTCAGAGAGACCCTATATGATAATTTAAAAAAATTCCCAACATCTCTGGTGTAGCGGTTAGGCGTTTCGCGGTTGCTCGCAGTAGACCTGAGCTTGATTCCCGAATGGGGATAGTTTATGTCAAATGTCTCGGTCTTGCTGTTGGGATGTTGTACCCCTCTAAGCCCTGGTTGTCCCTGGCAGACAGGGTGTGAAGCCCGACTCCTTCATGATCTAAATTGTAAAAGAAGTCTCATCTTTTTGCTGCAAGAGTTATCTCACAAACGCTGATTTTGTCTAAGAGGTGCTTGGCTGTGTGCTTACTCGTGTAGTTTCCTTGTTGTAGATTTCAGCTGGGGATACTTGCATTGAAGTCCAGTATGATACCAACTCAGCTATCGGCGTGCTTTCTCCAAAGTGGCGACCTCTGCTTCTGTGGATTGTAAAACTGCATCCTGTAATATCCCTTTCTGTTCGATGCAAAAACAAAGCAACAGTAGCAGCAGCAGCAGCAACAATTAATGGAAGAACTTTGACCGGCAACTTAAACAGCTGAAGGAGAAAAGTTATAAACTGTACCGTTGTCGCGGTTCTCCATCTCGAACGGCTAACTTTACGCTATCGATTGCTTGCGTATTGCGACACTGGACCATCAAAAACGAAATGAGGATAAATGTCAATCATAAAAATGAACCATGATAGCGGTAATTCCAGTGCAAAGGAGGAAATTAGATTAAAGCCAACAAGGGTATTAGTTTCGAAAGAATACTCTTCCTTTGAGTTTTTTGGTTGGCCTGTTCATTGCTCACTCAAGTTCGTGGGTATTTTGATACTCGAGAGTGTACAATATTTTCTTCAACGAAGTTGATTTGTGTGTGTGTGTGTG